GGGAGATTGTTTTTAATTTTCTTTAATTATATTATTTTTATGAACATATAATGCTTAGTTGCAATGTACCTTCTATCTGGTTTGAATTAATTTATTTACATCTCCATGTTAATGAAACACGTAGAAATAAACTGATGTTTTGTGACCCTTTAATCTTTAATACTCAGCGGTAGCCTAGTGGTTGTAAGCATTGGACTCATGCTCGAGTTCAAATCTTTACTTTAGTTGGAACACTTGAAAGTGGTTGTTCCCTAGCCCGGGTGAGTATGATACAGATTCAATCGGAAGGCTAAACCGACCGAGTTTCATTCGCCACGCATGCGCGAAATATATGGCTCTCATATAAACAAAGATGGCGACTGTTCAAACGAGTACATACTGAGATGTTACCAAGCTTTAATTAGGTATGTTTATAGGTGATTGGAAGACATCATAGTCATGGGCGGTAATTAGTGCAAGTCGTGCCAAGGTCAAACGTCATACTTGTGATTTCAATTAGAAGAGCGAATTGGATTGTGGGAAAATCAATATTTATCAACACAAATGTCACACATGCGCAGCTCGACGACCACTGCCCTGTAAGGTTCGCAGGTACTTGCGTGTAACCGACTTGGCTGACGCAAGCAGCTTAAATTGCCATAAAGACTATCTATGATAGGAAGTTGATCACACACTCTTCTCATGTAGTTCCGAACTGGAATATGGTCTGTGTGAAAAAATGCACTATATCTTAGCACTCGCATTTAGAAATTGCTCGACCCCCAAGACTCGGTATAAGATGAGTAAAAGCAATACATTTTGCATGTCTAACACTGTGACACAGGTTGTGAGAATTTTATAACAATTGTTATGGTCACCCATTTCACCGTATTCATTATTTTTATCGGACCTGAATAAATCATATGGAATTCTGACTGATAACGATGGGGTGACTGGGTAACTATGGAAACGCATCACTTTTACCAATTGCTGGTACTGAATTTGTTTCACATTTCTGGAAATTCGAAGACAATCATGGTGACTAAGTCTGAAAGTTACCGTAAAAAAATATCAAACGTTTGTGCACCAGTTGTAGAGAATGCATTACTGCGAAATACGCGAGCGTATGTACGTCGTGCATGCGTGCACGTGCACGTGTAGGTGTATTACAACTTTGGAAACTCTTTATATATACGACGGGCATGCAAGGTGACTGCATCGCAACCAGACAACATTCCATTATTTCCCACCGATCTTTTCGAAGTAAGTAACATACTTTAGGGGTAATGTTGGTATTGTTCGTTATATATTTACACAAATGATATTTTGAATTTCACGTGCGTCGCTCTGAGGTATTGTGTCTATAATCACAAACGCGTATCGATTCGCACTTCTCAGTCGGCGACAAACGAACGCTATGTGTAGTTGAGCAACTCGTAAAATCGCGTGTTCGATTCACTTCAACCCTGGATACACTTGGGCACGAACGTTCATTGTGAAAGCGTTGATGACAAATTGGGGATGACCAGAGGCGTCTCGCTAACAAACTAATGTATGCGTAACCACGAAGCGATCGCGTTAGGGTTAAATGTTACGTTGAGACTATTAAGCGCGATTGTCAATGTCTTTTGTCCGTAAGACATATTCTTGATGACGTGGATTGGAAGGTATTTTTCTTTCAAAAACAGTGTCTGTCCCTTAAGGGTAAAAAATACAACGGTTCGCCCGCCACAAACAGGCAATAATCAGCTCATCTGAGCTTGGTCACCGTAAATGCAGGGTATAACATTAATTCAAACTAGAAAGTTGTCACACACATGACATGGTATAGCCATAGTTATGTATATATATGACATGGTATAGCAATAGTTATGCATATATATGACATGATATAGCAATAGTTATGCATATATATGACATGGTATAGCAATAGTTATATATATATATATGACATGGTATATCAATAGTTATATATATATGACATGGTATAGCCATAGTTATGTATATATATGACATGGTATAGCCATAGTTATGTATATATATATGACATGATATAGCAATAGTTATGTATATATATATATGACATGATATAGCAATAGTTATGCATATATATGACATGGTATAGCAATAGTTATGTATATATATGACATGATATAGCAATAGTTATGTATATATATGACATGGTATAGCAATAGTTATGTATATATATGACATGGTATAGCAATAGTTATGTATATATATGACATGATATAGCAATAGTTATGCATATATATGACATGGTATAGCAATAGTTATGCATATATATGACATGGTATAGCAATAGTTATGTATATATATATGACATGATATAGCAATAGTTATGTATATATATATGACATGGTATAGCAATAGTTATATATATATATATGACATGATATAGCAATAGTTATGCATATATATGACATGGTATAGCAATAGTTATGTATATATATGACATGGTATAGCAATAGTTATGTACACATATGACATGATATAGCAATAGTTATGAATGA